GCGCGGAGGGGCAGCGCTACGAGACCAACCGGGCGGCCCCCCAGCTGCTCTGCTCCCGGCTTCCCCGATTCAGCTGCTGGTCAGTTTCAGCAGTAGCTGAATGGGGGAAGCCTGTCCGGCTGCCCCAGCACTTCCGGGTTCCTGATGGTGCCAGACCATCAGGAGTCCCGGAGCATTGGATGCCGGACTAATGGAGTTTTACTGTAATACAGTGGTGCTCAACCTTTTCTAATTTGCGACCCTCAGGAAAATTTTGTTGAGCAAAAAACCAACAACGGCAGGAACATTTTGTTGCGGCCCCTTTAATTTAAAGCGCTGGTCCGCTCCCCTGCCAGTCCCTCTACCCCCACCGCGTGTACGTCGGGCATCGAGCCTGGAAAAGAAAATACCGGCCAGCTGGGATCAAAGGGCTGCGACCCCCCAGGAACGCGGGTTGGGCACCGCTGATATAACACATATACACTGCCTCTGATATAATAAAACACATAGAAACACACTGCATATGTGACCCACAGTGGTAAATAGTTTTAAAACCACTGGTCTAGACCATCCCTGACAGGTGTTTATCTAACCTGTTCTTAAAAACCTCTAATGATGGAAATTCCACAACGTTCCTAGGTAATTTGTTCCCGGGCTTAACTACTCTGACAGGAAGATTTTCCTAATGTCCAACCTAAATCTCCCTTGCTGCAATGTAAGCCCATTACTTCTCATCCTGTCCTCAGTGAGTAATGAGAATGATTTATCACCCTCCTCTTTCTAACAACCTTTTATGTACTTGAAGACTGTTACCGTGTCCTCCTCTCAGTCTTCTCTTTTCCAGACTAAACAAATCCAGTTTTTTCACCCTTTCCTCGTAGGTCATGTTTCTAGACCTTTAATCTTTAATCTTTTTTTTTTTTTTTTTTTTTGCTCTCCTCTGGACTTTCTCCAGTGCATCCACATGTTTCCCTAGGTCTGGTGTCCAGAAGTGGACACAGTATTCCAGCTGAAATTGTATTTCTCAGGACTTACTTACAACACTCTTGCAAATACATAGGCACTAAAAGCCCATATCCTTAAAATATTTCGGCTTCCGACATCCATTGGAAGTTAGAAGCCTAAACTCCTCAAAGGATCTGAGCCTAAAGCCCTGCCTCAAATTAACAAAATCCAAACAGACGCTCTCCCTGGCAAGCAGCAGGTACAATTCTTGAGCTGTGTGTGAAAGTTAATAAATCCAACAGTGTTACAGTGACACTCTGGTGCATAATTTCCTGCCTAGTTCAAAACAAAGTCGAATGTTCAAAGTATTTATAAACAGTGATCCTTGTTTTCTGTGATAAAGCCCCCCAAATTCTCTGATAAAGTGATATAAGAATCTGTGTTTTTCCATGTTTAAAACAAAACGCTGAACTTTAATTTCTCAAGCCGCAAATATATAGCTATTAATTGAACATAATGTTTTATTGGCAGATTTTATAGTTTTAAGCATGTTCAAAGCCTAACCATGCCCATCAGTCATTATAATAAAATAAAAGTAATAGAATTGCAATTCAGTTGTCAGCCCCAGTTTGGTTAATCCAGAGAGCCGGATAACGGGAGCTCAGATAAATGGGGTTCTCTTTGTATATGATTTTTTTC